GTACTGAACTGAGCTGAAAGCTGAGGCCTATTCCTATTTACTGACCAAACAAACAACTCTCTTTTGAATGCGTATCAAAATGGTCCTGTGTCCTGTGAAATTGTCTACGTGTCTTTTGTGCCAGGCAATAGCAACAGCAATAGCAACAGCAACAGCAACAGCATCCTCCCATTCCCAATCCGCTCAATCGTTTTGCTCTGTGTGTTATTGCTGCACTCCCTCTCTCTGTCTCTATTTTTTCGTCATTTTTGTGGGGCAAACAATGACGCGTTTCCCTCATATATGAGTCGATGCGGCGAGCCGCCCGAAGGACTAACGTTTTTTTGTTGTTATTGTGGTCTTGCTGTATGGCCTGACAAACAACGGATGATATATTGCAGTGGCAGCAGACGAGTGCCACGCCCAGCGCCTTTTGTTTGCAGTTGCCGCAAATCAGTGGCCAATAACGCAGTCCACGAGGTAGAACCTGGGATTCAGGGATACTAAATCCGGCATGTGGATGGATGCTGCGAGTATGCCCCACGGCCATGCTCTGGCTCTGATTCTGACTCGTTGTTTATAGAGAGCAAACCTTTTGAAGTTAATTAAAACGAATACGAAAGATGGAAAGCCCTTCACAAGGGCGCGACACAGAGGACTGTGCTGTTCGCCTTCTTCCCTCTTAATTTCCTTTTACGAGCGGAGTTGTAAAAATGTTATTGATAAATCTTCATTTTATTGCCGAGAAAATGGGAGTGCAAAAGCGAACCCATTTATTACCCCATTTTCCCATTCATTATATAGCTTATTAATATTTTTCTGTTTCCCTTTCCACGGCAAATAAATTGGATTCCTGTTGCACTCGCTGCACAGACACATTCCTGGCGCAGAAGTTCTCACCTGCCTGCCTTGTCTTTGGGGGTTTTCCTCCCACTTAGTCCCGAGTACCCACATACATTTATTTCTTGCCGGTTCTGGTGCCTCCCTGCTGCACTTTTCTTCCCCGGAATAACGAGAAATCGTATTAGAAATCAATTCATTTCATTTCTATTGTGCAATTTCCGTTTCGTCTTAGAATAGAAGTGGCTGGCAACAAAATGGGAAAAAAAGGAAAGAAAAGTAGCTCCAAAAAGCAGCAAAAAGTGGGGAATACGGCAATAACGAAGCATATGTTGTGGGAAAGCCAGGAAAAGCAGCATAGGTGAAGGGAAATGGAGAGAGAAGGCAGCGTAAATCCGAGGACAAATTGAGGTTGTAAATCTTCATTGATGGAGCCATTTGTGGCAAATCAATTTGTGATAAAGGCTGTGTCCTGTGCTGTGGTCAAGCCAAAGTGAACTTGAATTAGTCTTGCTAGCCAAGGATATCCTCAAGAATGAAGAGAAATGCCCAAAGATTGTTTTTCAGTTTTTTCTTCATTTTTTCTAAGCGCAAATTAAAGCCCCGAAATATTTTTAGGTTAACTCTTGTTCCCTGCCTTTTCGTCTCTCTTTTGCCACACACCTGCAACAATGTTGCATAATGCCCGGACGTTTAGTGTGAAATTTTCCACGCCCTTTATGCACATTTTCCTCTCCACTCTCTCTCTCTCTCTCTCTGTCTGACTCTCTGTGTGGCGGCTAGCACTTCTTTTGTAAATTGCGCACATAAACTAATTCCGCATGCATGAAATGACTTTTATAGAAAAATGAGAAAATTGCAGTGGCAATGTGTGTGTGGCAGTGGCAGGACCTCTCCTATGCTGGCGCTGCCCCAAAACCAGAGCTGACAGCAAGCCGCAAAGTGAAACGTGAGGCGCGTCCCGTCACGAGGCATCCGTTAGGGTTAAGTTGCAAGTGCGGCAGCAGCAGCAGCAGCAGGACTGCTGCTAATTGTGTCACAATGATGAGCATCATTTTCAGCGCTCTTTTTCTCGCATACTTTGCCCAGGACAAAGGACAAAGTGCCGCTGAAAAGCCAAGGGAAAATGAGGAGAAATTGCCTGCCGCCTGCCTGCCTGCATGGCAGACAGGAAATTAGGTATACGCCATGTGTGCCACGTGCACCATGTGTGTGTGGCAATGCCACTAATTTTCCGTTAGTAATTTCATTTCAAGCCGCCAGTTTTTGCCTGCATCCCCGCCCGAAAAAAACACTTTGAGGTGATGCCATCATCCAGAGCGTAGCGTTGATTGCTTTAAATGTGGGAATGCCTCATTCCTCTTTTCCATGGAAAGCCACTCATTTCCCTTCTGCCAGACAATGCTACTTTTTACTCCTTTCTCTCTGGAGCGAGAGCAGGCCACTCTTTCGCTTTTAATTATCATCAACGTTGGCATTTGTCTGGCATTTTTGTTGGTGGTCCTTCTTAGATTTTTCGCTTTTGTCTTTCGGCTTTTTTGGGAGCGGCGTCGTTTTGTGTTTTTGCCGCTTTTCCGTGCGATTTTCTTAGCCAATTTAAATGTCTACACATGCGAAGTGTCTGACGGGCGGAAAAGCTGCGGATGAGGTTGCGGATGCGGCAACGGCAACGGCAACCGACTGCCGACAGCCGACAACCCTTCTGCAGACTAATATGCCATCATATGTTTCTGAAAAGGAGTCTTCCTCCCCCGATTCCGACTCCTGCCAGACATGATGAATGATGAGCCGCCAATGGTTGTGTCTACTCTTTGAGACATAGAGGGTATTGTGACTTTGGGTATGGTTTTGGAAAGACAGAAGCGAAATTACCTATGAATGCTATAAATGCTATGGGAAACAGTTAGCTGCAGCCATGTTTGAGCATAAGCTTTTGTTCAGCACGACGACATGGTACAGGCGCAGACATGCTCGATCATGCACGATCAGACGAGCAAGCGCACAGCTGCGTCTGCGTCTGCAGCACACAAGTAAAAGACGAGCAAGCGCACAGCTTCGGCTGCGACAGCGACTGCGGCTGCAGTTTCGTGCAAGTCAAAACGAACATGATCGATCATGCGTGAACGGTCGAGCAAGGGCAAGCGCGCAGCTTCGACAGCGACTAAGGCTAAGGCGACTGCAGCTTCTGGCAGACGAAAACGAACATGATCGATCATGTCTGTGAGCGCAGTTGGGGGAGTAAACAAACGCGCAGCTTCGACTGGCGAGGCTTCAGCTTTAACTTGGAAGCTTTCCAGGGTGCGTGAGGGTATTTTTAGCTTCGTCGCCTGCGGGCAGAATATGGATTTCCTTCAATTGTTGTTCTGTTTTTGTTTGCGAATTACAAACAAATGTCTAATAGAAAGAAAACTCTCCCAACGAAAACTCTACCCATGCCGCACAAAAGCAAACATTTTGGCTTGAGTGACAGGCCGGGCAGGAAGGCAGGCAGGCGCATATCAGAGCTCTAAGCATAATGCGTGTATTCCCTATAAACGTTAAGCGATTTCCCTTCGATGGAGAGGAAGAAGCTTTGGCCGCTGGTGGAGGAGCGAAGTAAAGTAAAGTAATTTGTTTGTAATTTGTTAAGTAATACACACATTTTTTCCCGGCAGTTTGTTGTTTTTGTTGTTGTTGTTACTTGTTTGTCTGGCTGTCTCGACAGGATGTGGCTTTTCCTTCGCTTCATTTCGTTTGCCGTTCGTGGAGTGGCAGGAAAATAAAGAGAGCGGAAAAGTTCGAACGAGAAAAGGGATTTGTACTCCTTAATTACGAAACATCAAAGTGGTACCGACGAGTCGAGTCTGCTGTTGAAGTCTTAAGCCCGTGGTGGCATGGCGGCATGAGACTTAACCATTCATGTGGCAACAGTCTCGATGCCTCGCCCATCACTCATTCAAGTGTTGGAATCTAACACATTCCGGGCACAACCTCTAATAGAGTCTTCGATTAAATTGATGCATGCAACATGTGGGGGGAATGGGTAATTAATTCAACAAACCCTCAGGAAAAAAGAAGGACTGGCCCTTGCGTGTCGGCAATTAATATTTTGCCACGTTTTAGGACTCCCAAAACTGAAAATTGTTTGTACGTGTTGTGTACGTCGGACTTTCCCTTTTGAGAGGAGAGTTTTTCCCTCTACTAATTGGAAATTGCTTTCCTACAACGAACCTTCGGAATCGATTGTCTGCTGCTGCTGCTGCTCCTGCTTTGGAGTATTCCTTGGGGGTTTGAGTAATTGAAAGACAATCAAGTGACAAGAAAAGTCCTGCTGTAGCCCGAAAAAGAGTTGTTTCCTTAGACGCTACTACACACAGTACGTATATTCCGTGCTAATCCTCGCACATGAATCAATTTACGAGCAGAGCACTTTCACCATATTTTCCGCTCTTTTGGCTACAATAAATAAACCAGTAATTGGAAATGATTCCAAGGAAGGGATAAACACACTCCACCAGAACTCGGCGCACAGCTACCAAAAGCAGTGAGCGAAAACTGAACCAAATCTCTAATCAAATGTCAATTCCTTATTCAATAAAAATCCAAAACATACGAGAGAAAGCACTCGCCGAAAAACAGGGGAAATAAGTGTACGGATAGAGTAAATCTTTTAACGACTTTTACGACTCGATTGTGTGTGCTGTGTCGTACTGGTTGGCGTTGCCTTTTCCCTTTTAGGGCTTTCCCTGACCATTGCCAGTGTAACGTGCTTGTGTATAAGCCATTAAGCACTCCTACTCCCACTCCTTCCTCGCTGTGTTTGGCTTTTACTTGCTGTTTTCGGCCAATTATTACGCGCGATTTATGCTTTTATTTGTCAAGGAAAAGTTCGAAAAGACCAAAAGACCAGCCAAAGTTCAGAGTTCATGTAAACACTCATAATAGATTGTAAATCATAAAATCAGGGTCATATTTTGATCAACTTTTGCCCATGACTCGATTTGTGGCACATCAAAGTGGGCGGAAAATAATTTAAATTAGTTTAAGAATCCTTTTCTTTTTTTAAGCTTTGCCTTAGCCGTAGTAATTCTCAGCTTTTCCCTAGTTTTAATTCCCCACTTTGCCTGCAAAAACCTTTTTTAATTTCCACTTTTTACCCGCATTTCTTTTTTTCCCTCTTTCTTTTTCTGTTTATTTTACAGCCCAAGAATCTGCGAAAAATGATAATAAGAAACCACAAGGTAAAATGCTTTTCATTACAATTTTCTTACATTTTCCCTTCATTTTATGCCCGTTTCAATATTCTTATTTGCTTTGAGGAAATGTCGTCTGGCCCAGACACGGAGAGACTTTTAATAGTTTTCCTGGACAGCAATTTAAATTGTCATATTTTATGCGCCAAAGCCTTCGCAAAATGTCATTAAAATGGATGTCAAGCAGAGTCAAGTTAACCTTCTTATGTTCCCCCGCCCTCTCAGTGATGCCCACTGATTGTTGTTCCATTAGGGGAATATCCTTCTATCCTTTTGTAGATAGAAGAGAGATCTAGTTTTGTGGGTGGGCATCGCTATGCAGAGTGTGCAGGCGACAGCCAAAAGTAATGACAAAACGCAGCGGGCTATCATTTTCATTCGCATATTGAGACACATTTTGCTTACCAGCCAGCAGCCAGCAGCCAGCAGGCAGCCTTCTAGGATGCAGTCTGTGCAGTCACCACCCAAAAAGGTTGTCATCTCTTCAGTAATTGAATCCTGTGCCGAAAACTATAAATTCTCTCAAATGGTAAACAAGGATAACAACTTTTTGGGGAGTGCACCCATTAAAATATGAACTTTTTGATTGAGATTTCAGCAGCAGGAAAGCATTTCTAGGCAGCAGGAAAATTGGTAAACGTTGAACAACTTTGGAAATATTTGGTAGATTATTTGCAGCTCAAATGTTGAAATACGAAGCATCTATAGGCTAGTACAGTTATTAGCTCTTTGATGGACAATTCTGAGAAAATTAAACAATAGAAAAATATTAAAAGTGGAAGGATTATGGGAGGCAGCAACTGACTTTTGATATTTCATGATTTCATGACTGACTTTCAACGAATTATTTACATTTTAAAAATGTTTTCCTAATGGCTAAAATAAAATGCATTTTCCTTCAGATTTCCGTAGCAGTTTTGCTGCAGGAAAAAGCTTAAAAGTTGAAGGAAAAACTTTTCCTACAATTGCGAGCACATTTTGGACACAATTTAGCAGATTATTTTGAGGCTTAAGCATGGCTTTAGCTTTGATTTTCTGAGTAATTTCTAAATTCGAAAATGTTTATGGAAAATTTGCATCCCTCGAAAATCCAACAAGAACCCCTTGCCCACGCCTACAACGTGCTTGGAGAGAATCCAAAGTAAACATTTGAGGATGCAGCATTGCAACACCCCTCCTTAGCCCCCTGATACCGGCCAAAGAAAGGACTCGCTACCCTTAGATTCGAGTCGATTTCTGGCTGCCTGTCTGCTGCTTGCCTGTCCTCTGCTGTCCTGTCCCTTCGTTGTCTCGCTTCTGTTTTGTAATTGAATTCTACAACAACACAATAAATTTTAGGCACTAAACGGCAAAGTCACTGGCTGGAGAGAGAGAGAGAGAGAGAGAGAGAGAGAGAGAGAGAGAGAGAGAGAGAGAGAGAGCGCAGAAGGGGGGAAGAAGAGTGGGTGAAGCGGGACTAAAACGTGCAGACAGCCGGTAGAGGGTGGGGGACGGGTGGGAAGAGAGTTCGATGCAGTAAAAAGAGAAAATTTAATTTCTTGCCTGAATCATAAATCACAAACATAAACAGTGAGTGGGGCAGGGCAGGCAGGGAGAGGAAGATGTCGCCAGATAAAGGCTCCCAATGGGTGCACCCCCCTCCTGGCTTTTTTTGTGTCGCGCGGGAGGCAATTTGAAATTCGTTGTCGATGGCAGGACTCTGTGGCTCCAGCTCTGGCTCACTCTCAAGGGCCGATGCCGTGGCCAGAGCCTGCCATTGCACTTATCAAAACGTCATTTCCGGGCGGGCCAAAGGAAAAGCTGTGGAAAAGCCCACTCTCCACACACAAATAAATTCGGCAACGGGAGTGGTCCAAAAAGGGGCACGGAAGTGCCGACTTTCGAGTGTCGCTTTATTAAATTTTTACGCAAATGCATGACACGCGGATATGAATAACAATAACAGACATAAGCTTCTGCATATATCTACATATTTACATACATATATGTATGGAGCAAATCCCCTCTGGAATAAATATAAACAAAAGTCAGAGAGGCCTTTCTGAGTCCTCATCCTTATGCAAATGAAAAGTAAAAACTTTTATGTCCCCAATATTTATACATTTTTACGAGTCAGGCACACTACATTGAGGCGTGTGCGTGTGCGTGGGCGTGGCTGTGTGACCCACTGTTGCTGGCTGCAACAATTTCCGCGCTGTGATTTCCTCACATTTTTTATGACATTTCCAGTAGTTTGCTGCCCCAAGCGAACATAAATATTGTTGCAAAGCCAAAAACAAATAGCAAACAGAAATTACAATAATATGCAATAATGCAAAAGGACAACAGAGGGTACTGCCATTCCCCCCTGCCAAAACAGCAGCCCACCCCCCCCCAGACGAAGAGCACACACACACATATGGAGGAGGGTACACACTCCATGCCATGTCCTGCCTGCCCCATTTCAGCTGTATCTCTGGCACATGTGTCTGCCTGTCCCATGCGTGGCTTTAAGTCACAGCAGGACGTGACATCCTTGCATAGCATTTGCATAACTATATCAACAAGAGACAGACCCCATGGACAACCATGGACCGGCAGCAGCAGCAGCAGCAGCAGCAGCAGCAGCAGAAGGAGCACCAGGGACCACGACCAGGAGGAGCAGACATCAGCGACTGCCAACGCGCGGACACCAGCATCTGAATACTCCCCTGTCTCCTGTCTGCTGTCGTTCCTGTCGCCATATCTGCCTGCCTGGCGCATCTCCTGTTCGCTGTTCGCTGCTGTTCCCTGTTCCCTGTCCCTGTCCCTGTTGCTATTTTTATCAGAGTTTTCCTGCGAGTTTCCCTTGATGCGCTTGCATAATTTTCATTGTTTTCCTTTTACAAGCGAATTTCCCTCAACTTGTCTCTTAGTTTGCTCTTATTTTTGGGTAGCACTTCCTGCACTGATTTTCTGTTTGCATTTCAAGTTTTTGGTGTTTTGTGGTGCGTTGCAATAAAACTTTATATGAAGGCGTTAAACAAAGAATATGGAAATAACTCATAAGGCAGGGCCAAGCACTATCCTTTGGGTGATAAAAAAAAAACACTTCGGTGGTATACTTAAAGGGTTTATGGGAAGCCATAAGGAAGGGCAAAAGTGTGTCAGGCAAAAGATATTAACATGAAGCAAAGGAGTGCCAAAAAGTTTCTTGGCAAATCGATCAGTTTTTGCACTTATTCTTACCCTTAACTCATTAATTACCAATACAATTACCATAGCAATCGATCGATCTGTCACCAAAAAACCAACTCAAGCTCCTTCAGTAGCACATTTAAACCATCTTTAAGTGCTTTTTCGCTCTGCTGCTGTCCTCTTAGGTTTCCACTTATGCCCTAATTCGCTTCATCGCATAAAATCAATGTCTATCAATGCATATCTTACTTTATGTGGCCGCCATAACAATAATCATTTTGATGACCCGAAAAAGTCCAATGCCAAGAAATGGAAACTCTCTCGCGCATTTCCATTGTCATTTTCCATTTCCTTTTCCGCTGCGCCCCGCACACACGCACACACACAACATCTGCAGTCAGTATCCAATTATCGTTGCCAAAATGCTGGCTGACATTTGCTGGCTGCTTGAGGCACTCACACACACACACACACACACACACACACACACACACACATGAGCAATTCAATTTTCGAATTTTCTAATATGCCAAAAGAAAGCACACGGAGAAGGAGAGAGAGCTAGCTGCTATCTAAGCCCCTCTCTTTATTGTTGTTGTCTCTCATTTTTTTGTGCATTTTACAGGCACTTTTCCAATGCTCAGTCAATTTTTGCAAATCAAATGTCTGCTCAGCGCTGCAGCCCCCGCTCCGTCTGGCTTTTATCGCTGATTTGCCAGGATAAAGCGAGGAATAGCAAGAAGTCGCGAAAACGATGCCAAATACCATTCCACTCGAATGGCTAGACGGGCGGAAGAAGAGTCCTTCACAGTGCTTCGCATCGAGCGAGGCATTTTCCAAAGAAATCTACTCTAGTTTTTCTCTGGCGTTTTATTTGGCTTCATTTATGGCCTCTGCCTCGCATCGCATATTGCCTCGGCAATTTAATCGGCAAACATACTCCACGTACCGCCCCCACTACTCTTCCAGGATATTCCCTGGTCTCAAATATCCATGCCCCTGCTCCCACTCCCACTCCCACTCTCTGTGTGCGGACTGAAAGTTTTTTCTTTTTCTACAATCAGCTGCTGCTGAATTTTTAATTTTTATGTTAGTAATTTTTCAGCATTTTCTCTGTGTTTTCTGTGCGGAAAAGGAAACGCGTTGTGCCCCCGGAAGAACATCTTGCGCGGGAATATTAAATTTTTTTATGCTTTCGGCAGCGTGGAAATGTAAAAATAAAATAAGAATAAGACTAAAGTTGTCTGTTTTTTTGCACAACGAATGGGGAAACATGTTGCGAATCGCAAAACCCAAAAGGGGAGGACTCGAACTCGAACTCGAACTCGAACTCGTCCACGAATGTGTGTTACTTTTCTTTCATTTTTTAGTGTTATGTGTGTCCCGGGTGCTGTTCCAGCTCAACTCTTCAATACTTAAAGACAAATCACTCCAGCGCCGTGTGTGTCTGTAGTTTTGTATCTCTTTAAGCGCGTAAGCCGTAATTTATGGCCCAGAAGTGCAACGAAGCTGCAGGTAGAGCCACTCCGCTGGAAGTTTATTATATAAATATTTCAAATGAAGGCAGATGCACCTGCTGGCACATGGCACATGGCACATGGCAGCTGCCCCCACGTCAGAGCAGCGTCTGTGTAGGGCGAAAGCAAACATAATTTAAAATGTAATTAGTGCTCAAATAGAAAACCAAACAAACAGAGAAACGAACGACCGGTACATATACCGTGTTGCCATTGGGACCCTGTGTTACCTGTGCCAGTGCCAGTGCCAGTGAATGGGGCGTGGCTGTTGAACCTCGCCCCAATGGCAAATAGAACCAGAAGCCAAATGCTGCTGCTGCTGCTGCTGCTACCCGCAAAGTCAATGAATGAATGGCGCAGCAGCAGCAGCAGCAGCAGGTTACTAGGTGACCCAGTCCCATCCACAACTCCTGGACACACACCTGTCTGTGTAAAGCAGAAGGGAGAAAGAGAAGCCCCTGGAGGAGCCTGCAAAACTTTGTCCTAGACCAACTTTTTAGCAGCTGCTGTTGGCTGCTGCTGTTGCCGCTTCTGTGGCTTTTGCTGCTTTTGAAACATTTTATTATAACGAGCAAAAGGTGCAGCAGCCCACCCCAGCCCACAGGTTCTCCATTCATTTGCCGCATTTCAAGGTTGTCTGAATACGATTTTTGGATTTTTGGACCACAAAAAGATCGCTCTCAGCGTTTCGGTTTCCTCTGTTTCGCTCTATTATGCGAGGCGGAGTACACGAGTATTGATGATGTGCATAATGAGAGTTGGATGGATGGGTGGGAGCCCCTCGAAAGTTCAACTTTTGTGCTCATTATGGAAATGCGGAATTCTAGGGCTTCTGCTTCTGTTCCCCATCCACTTGAAGGAGCAGCTTATCCACTTGTCCAACCAGTACGACTTCCCTTGGAAGCCTCTGTTTCTGTTGTTCGTCCACTAATTTGGTTTTTAAGTGGTTTCTGCTGCTCATTAAGCTGCCTCTTTGCCTTTGCCTTTGCCTTTGCCTTTTTCCATTTGCCTTACCTTTTGCTTACGTATTCTGTTTTACCCTTTTTCTTCTTGGCAGACTGGCGCAGCACGGACAGCACCGACCATCATGATCGCGTCCAGAGGCAATTGTCCGTCTCCTCCGACAGCAAGCTGCTCGACGAGGACATTCGTGAGGAGATGAAGTACCATTCGCATGTGGTCATGCGTCCCAAGAAGCCGCCCAGACCCAAGTCCGAGGTATTTCTCAACAAGCAGGATCCACATCCGCGACGCAAACGCTTCAGTGCATTTGGTGTAAGTAATTTTGTTCTGCACTTTCCATGAAGCGATGTTATATGGCGGCACAAAACTGTTGCATACTTTCACCTAAATGCGGCACTTTGCTGGCACTTGCAATTCCCAACTGGTTCTGGCTGCGCATCTACAAGCTGACGGCTGTTGGCAGTGGAAAAGTATTATTGAAAATTTTTAATCTCTTTGAAATTTATCTTGGTGGGACCCTTTTGTTACGGCAATTGAGTTGTTCCCGATACTAAATACATTGGAAAGTAGGGCTACTAAATAGTACTTGTTATTGCGGAGTTTTGTGGATGAGTGAAGGGGCGCAGCTGCCCTATGAATCCATGAGGAAATGTTTGGAATTTATGCAGAATTTGTTCAACGCTTTTTAATAGAAGGTTCTTCGAGCTTAATTTGAATGGAAATCCGTACACAAAGAGACCGATACATATCCATTAATTACATTCCGAATCATTCGAAAGCCATCAAATCTTTTTATATTCACATTTCGAATGATTGAGAGACTAAATAGAGTTCAATTCCAGCACATCAAATGACTTCTTTCAAGTAAGATCTACAGCCAGAGATATGCACAGCATAAAGTAAAGTAAAAATTACAAAAAATAAACACACACAAAAAAGTGCCAAGCAAACGTTTGCAATTTCATTCTCAAATAACTCCGCTTGCCCCAGGCAGAACACTTTTCCTGTGGGCATTCCCTTTCTCCCTCTCTGATTACATCATACGCTAATTTAATGTAAAGCAACAACTAACTAACTTTGTTAATTAATTAACGAAAACATGATACATTTTTCACTTTTGCGTTTCTGTTGCTGTTTTCCCCACAGGGCGACTCCCCATTTGGGAAACAGGAGGCCTACGTCAAGCTGGAGCCACTGGGCGAAGGGTCCTATGCGACGGTCTACAAAGGATTCAGCAAGTGAGTACCAGCCACACCCCAGACAGAAGCAAGAGGTGCAAGAGGATGATGGCCCTGCCTATTGGGGTTGCCATGTCAGTGGGTTAAGTAAAAAATGATTGTTGAAGGAGAAGCAACCTAAACCTCATCTCAGCTTGAACTTCTCTCGCTCGCCTGATGAGCATCGCTCCAAAAAGCTTTCATTTTTAAGACCCCAAAAAGGAGAGTGGCGAGCAGGGGGGAAACTGTGTCATTTTGGACTGATTTATACGCTAGTTTGCATCCATCCCATGCCCAGATCTGCGTTTTGCATCCATTTCTTTGTCCCCGTTGGCAGACTCATTACAGAACCAGAGCCAAAGAGCCAGCCATGCAAATGTGGCTATCAATCAAGTGGAGGGTTGGCCCACAGCCCACAAAGAAAAAGGATGGATCCATGTGGGTCATGGGATGGATGCAGTACTTCCTTTTCCCCTTTTTTTTTGTGATTGTTGTGTTTGGCCCATTTCCAGGACACGCACTTTTCTGTTCCCAACTTGCTCCACAATTGAGTTGAGTTCCTGCTGTTGCCTTCCTCCCTTTCGTGCCATTGCTAACCAAAATGCTGCCTCATTTGCGGCTCGTCTGGCACTGATTTCTTTGGGAATTGGAGTTATGGTGGGGTTGCAGAGTGTAGCGGAGTCTTTCCCCCCTTCATAATTTGACAAATGAGCCTGGAAAATGTGTGCAAAAGGTGGAAGGCTAGGACAAGGATTCGTCACCTTTCTGACAGCCTCTGCAACTCCCATTCCGATGATAGATGCCCGCACGCCCGCCCGCCCGTCTCCTCAGTTACTCTGTCACAGGCAGAGGCCCATGACCGTGCCTGTCCTTCAATCTTATTTCTCTTCCGTTAACCCCTAAACATCCCTCGGCAGCGCTTCCACCTCCCTCCTCGAGGCACTTCATCTTTTCTTTGCTGGCAATCGCCCAACTCCATCTCCTTGCTTTGTTTTTTGATTTATTTGACAATCATTTGCTTTCGGTGTTCGTTCAACTTTCGTTCCTGCCCCTCCATCCAAACGGAAAACTTGTTTGGCTTTTCCCACAGCCTCTTTGGGCCCCTTTCTGTGCCTTTTCCACTGATTTTTCTCCCCCGTGCCTGTCCCTATTCTGCTCTCATTTGATATGCACGACAGCGCCTACATGCGAAATGAGTTCCAATTAGCCTTTGTTTATACGAAATGCAATTAATTCGCTCTAATTTATCTGCCAAATGGAAATGGAAATGCTTGGCCCTGCTAACCCTGGGAAACTCCCTCCCTTGGCCTGTACTTTTTCTTAGGCTGAGTCAAGTCAAAGTTCTTTGTTCCTTTGGCACACTGCACACTGCACGACGACGACGACGACGAGGACAAATCCTTACGCTCTGGTTTGCCTTTTGCGCCTTTTCAAATGGAAATTTAGGTCACTTTCCATTCGTTTTCTCCATGCTCCCTGCTGCCTCTAAGATTTATGCTGCCTGCTCCTCTCCTCTTCCCTGTTTTTTTTTGTTGTGCAAGTTTATTCAGGTTCTTTCTCTGGTTCTCTAAATCTCTCCCTCTCTCTCTCTCTCTCCCTCCCCCTCTGTCTCGCTGTGTGTTTGTCAATTGTAAAAGATTTCATGAATGATTTCACTTCTATTTGACTTTCGTTTTTCTTTGCATTGTCCTTTGCCAGGGGTCCACCGGTTGTTGCTCCTGCCTTATCCTTTGCTGGCTTTGAGCTGCTGCCGGACTATTTTCTACCTTCCTGAGCAAACAGATGAAAAAGGGGCAGGCTGGCGGGGGGCGGGAAAGCCAAATCTGAATCGGAATGAAGCCTTGAGAGTACTTGGAGCAGAAGTCAAGTTCCTGATTAGCATTTAGTAGGTCAGCTGTCACACGGCTACAGCTTACCCCCAGGCAAACTTCGATTGCGAAAACTTCTGCAGGAGACGACGCCAGAAAACTTTTGATGGCACACGCAAATTTTCGGTTTATGCTTAACTAAATCGTATTATTTTTGCATTAACAAGTGGCAAAACGAGCCACAAAGGCAAAGCCAAGTCCAAAGACAAAGACAAAGTTGTGTGCGCCACAAAATCGTGTCTAGGAATTTTTACAAATTTTTCATGGGATTCTAGCAGCTGTCTACACAGTAACAGGATGCAGGATGCAGGATGCAGGATGGTTACATGGTTACATGTGCCACAGCGGAACATTCGCTTTTTATGGCAAAAGATTGTGCGTTCGGTTTATGAACCGAAATGAAAGGTTTAAGCAACATATTGTTGGGGCTTGAGGGACAGTGTTTTGCTTGTATTTTATGGCAGCGATATAAAGTTGAGCGGAAATCTTCACATTTACGATCGATGGCAACAAATTGGGGCTGTACTTTAATCAACATTAACCATCCATGCTGCTGGTTGGATGGATGCTTCCTTGAGGGTTCCTCATCATCCTCATTAACCCTCGTTTAAGCAATTAGTCAGGGCCCACCGAAATTCACTTGCTCCGACGACACTTTCAACTTTCGACACATTCCATGGCAGTGGCAGACGAGGCAGGACCCTCCAGTGCGCTGCTTGAGCCATAAAAAACTTTTGCATCTGCGATTAGAAGAGTCCCCTCAAAGGGCCCCCCTCTGCCACTCCCACTAGTTTATGGTTAGATATGCTTGGGATTTTTTCATGGGTTTTTCTTGGTTTTTTTCGTACATTTATTTTTATTTTTCTTCATTTTTTGTTTGGCTTGGCTTGTGGAAATCCTTGCCAATTAGAATGCTGGCTGGGAGAGAGAGAGAGAGAGAGAGCGTCGCATAAACTGTTGGCCTCTGCGGCGGCAGTGTCAAATAATTTAACCTAATTTGACACTTCAAATGTGCTGCAGCCTGGCCTTGTGGGTGGTAGGATGTTTGCCTTACTCGCCTCTGTGTGTGGCTGTCTGTATCTTTGCCCCATCTTCAGCTCCGCTTGGTCCCTACCGTCTGCTGTGTCCCCTATCCTAACTTAAGTGTTTGCCATACATTTCTCTGCGTGTTTGGGTCGTTATGTCTGTTTAATATACAAAAGGGAACGTCCCACAAAAGACCTTTGGCATGGGCAGCCTCCTCCTAATTCCTTGTTGCTCCTGCTGGCAGCTGTGTAATTGTTGTTCCTTGGACATGCCCCAGCGCCACTTAAGTATTTATCTTATTAATTTCTGCTCTGTCCTGCCCACAGATTAACCTACCAGCGGGTGGCGCTGAAGGAGATCCGACTGCAGGAGGAGGAGGGTGCCCCGTTCACGGCCATCCGTGAGGCCTCGCTGCTGAAAGAACTGAAGCACAGCAATATTGTGACGCTGCACGACATCGTGCACACCCGTGAGACGCTGACCTTTGTCTTTGAGTATGTGGTAAGTAGATTCCTGCACTCATTCGACATGCAACCCCTTGCTAATGCTGAAATTCCTTCTGCTTTGCTGTGCAGAACACGGATCTATCGCAATATATGGAGAAACATCCTGGCGGTCTGGACCATCGCAATGTGCGTCTGTTCCTCTTCCAGCTGCTGCGCGGTCTCTCCTACTGCCACAAGCGTCGTGTCCTCCATCGCGACGTCAAGCCGCAGAATCTGCTAATCAGCGACTGCGGCGAACTGAAGCTTGCCGACTTTGGCCTGGCCAGGGCCAAATCCGTACCCAGTCACACATATTCGCATGAGGTCGTCACGCTGTGGTATCGTCCACCAGGTGGGTTGGTTAAAGGATACAGCAAGGGGCTTCTGGGTAGAAGGATAACCCTTGGAAGCCGATTGGTTTCCCGGGAATCGCTTAGGCTGCTCTTCCAGCGAATGTTTCAGCTACAGAAAGTTATCCCGAAACAGCATTTGCGCTGTGTTGAACAGTGGCAAGAAGTTGCCTAGAATCGGTGTACAAACTTGTAATTTACTGTAGAAGAAAGCTTCCCAGAATCCACCTCTCTTTTTTCATAGTTAAAGTAGAAAAAATATCCCTTGTCATAATTATTACTAAGCCAATCAAGCAGTTGAAAATACTTGTTTTTTTACTGACTTTTCATGCGAAGAAAGCATGGCAAATGTTGCCATTTTAGATTGAGATGAAAGGCATTTATCAGTGGCAGCAAGAACTCTCTTCTCCCAACAAATTTCAGTGGTTGCCTCTGCCATTCCCACACTTATATTTCAATCAGTGGAAGTCTTCCCTCCCAGTAATTAAAATTAATCCTCCAGGCTTTAACCAAACACCAAAAAGCCTTTTCATGTATGCTCTTGCTATCCATAAAAAGAGAGAAAAGATGGATAGATATTTAAGTGCAAACAGACTGTAGTTGAGAGGACTTAAATATCCAAATTGCATTTAGTTTTTCGCTTGTTTCGTGTGCTGTGGTGTGGTGGTGCAGTCGACGCTGAAAGCTCTCAGGAAAAATGGCAGCCATTAATTGGCGCCACGAACGCCAGTCAGGCTGAAAACTGTGCATTTAGCAACAGCCAGGACTTGAGTCGGATTAAATTAATGCCAGGACTAAGCCTGCAGGCGCTCCTTACTCCCGCTCTCTCTCTATCTCTCTCTCTTCGCTTTTGCTGACAAAGGATAAACAATTCAGATTTTTCCATCAATTTGCCAGAGCTAAATGGAAAACTAATGGAGAAAAGCCAAAGAGTGAGCCAAGAGAGAGCCAAAGAAATAAAGTTAATTTTTTCTAATATGCAATTCCTGCTGCCACCATCATCATCCTTGTCAGAGTTTGGGATCTGTTTGGGGGCATGCTGAAGCATGTTAAACAAATTTAATCTGCACTTCTTGGCAGCAGCTGAAAGGAGAGAGTGGCAACAAAAAAGAAAAAGGAGTAGGAAAATGCACAGGAAGTGCTGCAGGGGAAGAGCAGGGAAAGCAGAGAGCGGAGAGCGGATGTGGTGTGTTTTCAGCACCTGTGTGTATTAGTGTGTGTGTGTGGAAACTTTGTTTGCTGCTGGTCAAAAAGATAAGCATAAAGGTTGCTCCGGGCAACCAGAACATGATAAACCCAGCTCTCCGCTCCTCTCATTTGCTGTATATAAAATTGCAATTTATTGCTCAACACAAACAGAGAGAGAGAGAGAGGGAGAGAGAGAGGGAGAGATAAAAGCTAGTGGAAAGAAACTGCATTTGCTTAGGAAAGTTTTCATGTTTTCCCTTCTGTCTGCAGATGTCCTGCTGGGCAGCACCGAGTACTCAACGTCGCTGGACATGTGGGGCGTTGGTTGCATCTTTGTGGAAATGGTCACTGGGATGCCCACATTCCCCGGCATACGTGATACCTACGATCAGTTGGACAAGATATTCAAATTGCTGGGCACACCCACAGAGGAAACGTGGACGGGGGTAACCCATTTCCCAGGCTACAAGCCGCACAAGTTGGGTAAGTAATTGCACCGAACCGAAGCTCAAGTAAAGTTTGGCAACTAATTTGATTTGATATTCAGGTTTCTATCGGCCAAGGAAACTGGGTCACAATTTCCCACGACTGTACGACATCATCGAGGGTGAGACGATAGCGAACGCCTTTCTGCAGCTGAATCCAGAGGAGCGGATCGGCGCCGATGATGCACTGCTGCATCCCTACTTTGCGCAGTTGCCAAAGAAACTCTACGAATTGCCAGATGGTAAGCAGCGGATTGAATTAAGGCATTAAATATTTACAACATTTGCCGCCGGAACGAACCACGAACGAACGAATGAGCTGCACGTGGAGCAACTTTGTCGCATTGTCTGTGTGGCCAGTCGGCTAGAAAACCAATTAACAGAAGCTCTAGCTTATACGATACTACGACAGCAAAAGAGAGGAAATGTTTGCCTAAAGTTTCGAGATGGGGAAAAAGAGTAGCTAGCCCGCTCCTACTCCAGTTTTGGGGGCAGGGACAACTCATTTAAGTTTCGCGACAATTTGTTTGCCTTTTCTCAGTGCGGCTCCCCTGCAGGGGTAGGCCAGCGAATCCTTTTCTGAGGTATAGTTAACTGTAATTGCATTTCACAGTTTTAATTTGTATTCCAAGTGGTGGCGAAAACTTTTCTTTGCCTTGCCAACAAGTTGGTGGAGCAAAGAACACCAGGAAAAACTGTTCACAGGGAAACCTAATTATAAATCTCGGTTATATATACTCAAAATTCCTTTGTTGAGCGCAGTCTATGTATTTGGGATCTATAAGCAATTAGCAGGCTGCAAATTTAAGTCCATTTCCACTGCACTCAATGCAATCTGCAGTAAATACAATTTACATTCACTTCCGGCAATCCAGAGCACTGGTATTCATTAGAAAGAGCAGCTCCCCTTTTGTAAATGGCAACAATTTCAAGGAAAAGTCTCAGGGCAGACTATGCAATTTGGCAAATGAAATGCAATCCAATGGCAGAGCCACTCTGCACTCCAGCGTGCAGTGCAGTGTGGAACAAAAAAAACCGAAAAAGCATCAAATGAATGAAGTGCAAATTCCCCACTTTAAATGGGAGTTTTTGTGGCGAGGGGTGAGCAGAGCTTAAAGAGTGCTTAAAATGCGATTACCGCGTGATTTGTTTAGGCAACCCTCTGAACCCTCGGGACACCGAACACAAACAAGAACCCCGAACCCCATTTTTTTGTGTGTTCCATTTACGGGTTTTGGCTGTGATTTATACAAACTGATAGGGTCCGGTATGCTAATTTCTGGCTAAATCACAGTCGGGGGAGCAGCAAAACTTAACTAATGAGGGGGGGAAGAGTAGCTTCTGGTGCAGGGGTGTATAGTTTGGGGCTTGTGCCGACAGATAGAATCAATTAAAATGCAACTAATGCGCTTCATTTATCATGGCCAAGCGAAAAGGTCAACATACCCCGTTAGAGGTTTTTGTGGTCCTTTAGAGGAGGGTAACAGCAGCTCCAGTGGGAGGTATTGGTTTTGTGTGTGTTTGTGTTTGTGTTTGTGTGTGGCCGAGTGGAGGGGGCAAATGCAATTTTGCAAAAGGCAATTTTAATTGCCGCATGCGCTGCGCCGTTCGATGGCGGCCTGGCTCGGCCCGGCCGTAAATTAAATCATGTCATGGCCAGGCGCACGGCGCACGGCCAGGTCGTGCAGAATGTTGTCATAACTTGAATGTATATTTTTTTTAAATTAAAATTATTATTTAGTAATGCAACTCTCTCTCGCACTCTCTCCCACTCTCTATAGAAACCTCAATATTCACCGTGGAAGGCGTGCAGCTGTACACGGAGCCAAATCGACAGAATAAATGAAAATTAAAGCAAGTCCTCTCTGTGGATGGCGTACGTTTCTATTGTTAGGGGATCCTAAAAACAAAAGCCCAGCTCCCAACCCACCCCAAACCCCAAATGAAATATGTCTAAACCCCCAATCAAGCTCCTGGACTAGGCACAAGACATCAATCGTATCAATCAACCAACCAATCAACCAATCAACCAATCACTTCAGACAGCCATATATTATCGACGAGGGAGTGTGTTCCAGTTGCTGACGTTTTTGTACTATAATTCTATGATACTTTCTAGTTATTAGTTGCATTCAAAAGTGAGTGAGTGAAGCGCTTGGCGAGCGTACTAGCAGATACTTTAAACAATTTCAAATACGGATTGTACACAGCTGTGCAGCGGCATTTTATGTTCAGTCAAATTGCTAAACTTAGTTTAGATTTCTTTGTATTCTAAGGCTGGACATCGCTGTCCCCATCCCGCGGCCTTCTTGTCGATTAGGATACTCAATGTAGTCAGTGCGCAGATGTCTTTTTTTAACGTTTCCTTTCGTTTTTTGTATCATCTAAAGTCTTGTGTCTGCGTTAAATGATTTGTGAATGTGTTATGCATCGTATTTAGTTTCGATTTTAGTTATTTTTGGAAGCAATTTGTCATGATCGATCCATCAAGCACTTGCAAAAGACTAACAACATTCATTATTTCTCCACTATGATTTCTCTCACAAGTCCTTGAGTTGGTATCCGCATATCCGCTACTAAATAGTTTTTATAATGCTTTTCTTTGTCATTAAATACAAACCCGGGGGAGATTCGCCGCGCTGTTTAAGTGATAATTTTTATAATTATTAAATGAATTTATGTAAAAACAAATAAATTTAAATCCATTTATACCATTTAATTTGTTGCATCTTTTGTATTTGTATTTGTATTTGATTTTGGGTTTCCCTTTACTGCTTATTATTTGATTAATTTCTGTATCCTTTTAAGTTTCTTTTGCAGATATAAATTAGTGAAAAAAGAACTCCATCCATTTAGACGAATGAATGTTAAGTCGAGAGGCGAGAGAAGAAAAGTGAAGAGCCCCAGGCGGGGGGTAGGCTGATTGTATAGAGAGAGGAGGTGCGAAACCTAAGCATTTTCGAGGCAAAACGTAAGCAAAATGAATACTAGATAAACAATTAAATTTAGCAAAGAGAAGCGCAAATAGTAGAGTGAAATTTTTAGCAATCGACCGAAGGAACGAGTACGAGTACGACATTAAATAGCCATCAAATCAACTAAAGAACTAAACACTAAAGTAACCTAACCGAAATACGAGCATTTTACGAGTACATACATAGAGTTTGTAGAGCAACGCAACGCAATTGAATGAATCCAATCCAATCCAATCCAAAATGAAATCCATTTAATCCATTACCATAATTCTAAGAAGCGATGAAACGTTACGTACGATTTAGGGCCAAGATGCCGAGCTGCCAATGAGAGGACGCCCGCTGCTTGAGGCGGGCAGCGGCAAACTTTTAAATACAAATAATAATTAAAAAGAAATTAAATGAAAAGAGCTAACAAAATGTGCAAATTTGAAATCAAAGACACTTGAGACGGTTTTGAAAGAGGTAAATGAATCAAAAAACGATTTGAGTATAGAGAAACTAAAGCGTAGAACAAAATATATTATGAATATCCATCTCTAATGGATATAGAAATCTATATACATAAATGTATATCCATCGGAACGTAGGGACGAGCACATTTGAGTCGCATGCAATCAAATTGCTGAGATGAGAAGATGAAGGTTTTATGAGAAGCAGTCCGTGGGAAGGGCCATAAGGAAATAACAAATAACAACTTTATTAGGGCCAATGGCACAGGCCATTGCTATACTTTTGGCAGGCAGTGTGCAGCGATCAACGCACGCGTTTTCGTAGCGATACCAGATTATATTTTGTAGCAAAAAGTAACAAATTTAACTAAAGCGAAAACCAAGAGAAAACAAAAACAAAGCAAAATATTTCAAATGAATAAACTTTTTCTGTGATTTATGAAAAAAGTATGCAAAGACAGACAAGACAGACAGACACAAAGCACACACACACACACACACACACACACAGCAAAAAAACACTCCAGCATGAAGATAAACTAAACAAAAACTAAAATGAAAATGAAAATTAGGCACTTTAGAGAGAAAAAACAAAAAATAAGTAACGCAAGTAGTAGATGCTGAAATGCAAAGCGAAATTGTTTAGAATTATTTGCTAGCCCCCGAGAGCGGAAGAAAAGTACATTAAAATGAACCGAAATTTGCACACACTCAAAATTAATGAATGCCAAAAAACGAAAACAAATATCAGCCAGAGGAAAAGTTTTCGAGAAGTAAACACTGGATTCCGTTCTATATATTTTTGGTTTTCCTGCGAAATCATCAAAAATGAATGAAAGCGGAACAGGTAGAAAGAGAGACACAGATAGAGAGACGAAAGAACAGTGGTAGTGACATTGTAACGAAGCATGGCAACGCACTTTTTGCACTTTTTCCCATCCCGAAGGTTACGTCCATAGTTTGTAAGCCAATGGCCAATGGAAACAACAAAATCGAATCGAAGAAGATTGAACTGTGGTTTTCGTTTCTATTTTGCAATCTACACGGATGCACGTTTAGATCGATGCTTTTTTCGAGGCATTTTGTTCTCTAATTAAATCAAATCCTTTTGCACAACATTCGCGAAACAAAAGAACAGATGAGAAACCAAACAATTATGTAAGAGAAACAGAAACAGAAACAGAAACAGAATGAAACTAAGCTAATCCCTAAACGTAATCGAAATGGTACATAAACTAAGAATGTTTTTAGCTGAACGTGTCTAGTGGTATTCTATATAGTATATATTGTAGTAGCTAAGCGGCAGGGTTCCGGTTCCGTTCCCCCTACCCTATAGATAGACATAGCCATAGAGATAGAGAGAGAGAGAGAGCGAGCAAGAGAGAGCTCGAGCGAGAGTGAACCCTGGCAGGAAGGTAGGAACGAAAGGTAAAACATAAATCTATTTGGAACGTGGAGATACGAGTTCGAGATTGAAGGATCCGCAAAAAGAGGGATACGAATGAGATAACTTAAATATTTTTAATGCATTGAATTTGTCGTAAATATTTAATGTACCTTTGTTAAAAACAAAATAAATCTATTAACACAAATCAAGTAAAGCTAATTATGAATAGATGGAGCATGCAACTTTTTGTATAGTTATAGGGTTTAAATCGGGGGCCCAAATTGCCCAAGCCCGAAACCCACACCCCCACACCAACCGCATCCCTCTCCCTTGAGCCGAATGTGTGGATAAATTTTGTAAATATTTGTAGTTGATTTCTAAGTAGCGAAACGATGGGCTAAATACTCGTAATAAAAGAGGATCCGTATCCGAACGGAATACTGAATATTGAATGTTTATGATTTACCATGCAAAATGGAGAATGGCAACTAAATACAATTTGAATAAGTTCAACCTGTACAATAATTTAATATTAAATACAAATAAAAATGGCAAAACGCCAGCGAAAAGTAATCCATGCTGAGAGCAACACTATTATTATGGATGGTGTCCCACTTTGGGCATCCAATGAAGGCCATCATTTCACAAATTACATGATGAATGGCTGGGTCCTTCACCCATAAATAACAATCTAAGCTAATAATTTCTGATGAACGAAAATGTTGGCATGATCTGAAATTAACCTCATCCCCCGCCAATTGAAATACTTCAAGTGAATGACGGATTCGGGAAGTGGGGGAGAAAGAGAAGAAGGAGAGAGAGGCATCATCATCAACAACATCCCAGGCCCAAAAGCACACCCAAAAGCACACCCAAAAGCATTAATTATGTAAATGACACAACTCTTTTTTATTTCTTTACTTTATTTTTGGGCCGAACAAATGTCAAACAATATACACGAGACTTTTTTCCGTCTATGGGCCGACTGCCTCCCGATTGCGTCATTCGTCTTGTGGCTGTAACTGGAAAGAGATGAGCTCTGGGCTCCGTTCCGTCTCTGTGCATCGTATCTGCGGGCAATCATCTCTGCACGATTCCGCAACAGCTGGCCAGGCGAAAGGTTCCTCTAAAGCATTGACCAACCTTCAGAAACCCATAGCCATTCGGTTCGTCATTGCATTATAATTTAGCAATAACTAAATAAGTGAGTGACACAATGCGGAACACAGAAGCACAAAAAAGGTAATTCTGCGCATCGTGAACAAGCTGTTAAATCCAAATGAAAAGTGCATTCATTCACGTATCCATATTCATACAGCTCGTGAGGTTTTTCTCTACAAACGTTGACGGCTGAGGCCAGAATCCATATAAATAAGGCTATAAATAGACGTCCATCAAAGGGGGGAAACACAGAGACCGCCACTACAGAAGCTACCTCACAAAACTTGGACGGGACGTACAAGTGTCACATCGGGTTAGTCATAGCAAAACCCTTTCCATAGTTGGCATGGCCATGGGCAAACATTTGCATATGGAGCGGCTACGACTTGCAGGTTGAGGCAGGTTTTATTCAGGTTAGTGTCAATGAACAGAACTTTGTGAGTAATTACTATGGTAAACATTATACTACGCTGTTGATGAGGTAATGGAATTCCTAATTGCAAAGCCAGAGATTAAAGCTCGCAACAAAGTTTAGCACGCAGCCCGCTCCGCTCTTCTTTGAATACTCAATTAATTATTATCAGCTGATGAGCATCACTCAACTTGCACACCCTTCACATAACAGAACTATTTTGCATGCCTCACTCGTGTTAAGCTGATTGACAGCCCAAAGAAACCAAAAGTTCGAGGGGGTTTTTCGCCAGTCTTTTGCGACGACGGACATGTAAACAAAGCAAGACAATCCCCCAAGCACAGAGAAAAGAGAGCCGCGTCCGAGATCTTCTCTCGCATCTTCTCTTCATCTCGCGAAAGCTTTACTGCGAACAAAAGCTCGCTTCGGCAGGCAGTCTTTTGCTGCTCGTTTAATTGTCTCGCGAATCTTGCCCCGAACAGACGTCGTCGCTCGTGTGTGTGCTGTGGTGTGCTGTGCTCTTCGGTTCTATCAATTCGGCTTTGCATGCACCCAAGGCTAGGTGCCGAAATCAGTGTTCGATTGATTGACTGATTGATTGAAAGACGGATTCACTCAACACGTATATGTGATCAAAGTGATATTATGATGTGCCCGGTACAATTAAAAGCGATGGCCATTGGCATCGCCTGTCTCTTGTCGTTGCTCTGTGTCTGCGAGGGCTCCTCTTTGGTGGAGCCACACATGACCCAAGCGCCGCCAACTCTATCGCCAGCCCATGTGAGGTCGCGCTTGCGCACCAACTTCCGAGTGCGTTATAATTTTGTGGAACTTTTTGTGTATCTTTTACGTTAATCTCGGGTGAGGTGACGGAGTCCGTGACGATGCTGGTGCCTTTGGGCAGCAAGTCTCGTTTTTGGTCACGGCGCAAGTTCATTGCGCTGGACTCGTGTGCGTTTGCTTGTGTCGCGGGGGTTTTCTTGGTTTTGCTTGTGTTACTGACGCTGACTGGTCTGTTCTCTTCCTCCTCTGTCCTTCTTCTGCCCTTAGGCCAGCCCAGTGAGTGCCACAACGACTCCGCCCCGCTGCGAGTACAAGGAGCTAATGACGAATTTGCACGATCGAGTTGGCATCTTGGCGACCTTGGACGAGGACCAGCGCCATCGTCTGGAAGTCATCGATAAGAAGTGAGTAGCTCCCACTCTGCCCCAAACAGGTTTACGTCTCGATGGGCACGTAATGAAATATTTTTGGGAAAAAAACCGGTAAAACAAAACAACAGAAACCCAATAGAAGATGTTATTGGAAACGCCAGACTATCATCTCCGTCTATTGTTTCTTTGTCAATAATCCAACGAATCCCCAATGCGATTTATTTGGCAGAACAATGACTTCAACAAGCACATCTTTAATGATGCTCAAATAGCACGGCAACATGGCAATTATCCATGAATGAAGCAACACCCCAAAAAACATCTGCTGCCCAGCAATTGCTGGCCATTAAATATAGTATTTGTGTATTTTTTGTTGCCAAAATTCGCGCACTGCTTCCAAGTATCAGAGTGTTTATAATTCGGTCATGTTTGAACAGCACTCGCTGTGCCGCAGCCACAGCCGCCGACGCCTGTTTGGCTAATATATTTAAGACTTTTGTGTCTATAATTGTACACAAAGACGGAATGCAATAAGTCTCTCCCACTTATCGGAACAACTTCTGCGACCATTAGACAGGGTCACCAAATGGGGTCAACAATGATTGTGAGAGTACGAGTGCTGCTCGCAGTGATTTGTGTGCCTTAATCTTTAATCATTGTTTTCTTTATGCCGCAGACTGGATCAACTGGTGGACAGCAATGCCGCTCGCATGGAGTCCCTGAAGGCGCAGCAATTGAACTTCCAGCAGCGATTGGACAGCTTCGAGCACATCCAGCGGCTCTCACGCAGCACTCTGGATGAACTAAAAGGTGAAACAGACTTGACCTTGGGTCCCCGAAGAGTTAGGGAGTTGAAGCAAAAGCTAAACAATCGCCGAAAGATGAAGGGTAATCCTGCATGTTGTGTGGCGAATGTTGTCTTTAATGTTGTGCTAACTCTGTGAAAGCCATAAGGAAACCCCAAGCTAAAATCTCTCTTTCCAAACAGATATCTCCCGCACCGTTCGCTCTGCTCCCCAGCAGTATGCTCCATTGCCAAACTCGAGTGCTGGCAATGTTGATATTAGTCTGACCGATCGCTTGGATGCCTTGGCCACGCTGCTCACCTCCACGGCGCTGAGTGTGCGGACCGTGCAGGAGGATGTCTTCAAGCTAGCTCAAGCAATCAAGTAAGCAACGAATAAGGTTTACCTTTCATGGATATATGATTAAAGATCCATTTCCTTTTAGTCGCCAGCGTCGCCTGTCACATCGCAGGGTGCCGCCCAATCTCATCGGACAACCAGGAGCCGCTGCCTTTCCCGCCTATCCCCGACTAAGTCCGCCCACCAGCTGCCTGCAGTATTATCTGTCGGTGCAGGGCATTCTGAAGCTGCAGCTCACCCCCGAGTCCGAGTCCTTTTATGTGGCTTGTGACGGGGACTGGACCGTGATACTCAACCGGAGCTCCGACGAGATCAACTTTGAGCGTGGCTGGCTGGACTACAAGGACGGCTTCGGCAATCTGGCCGGCGACTTCTTCATTGGCCTGAACAAACTGCACGCCCTGACCTCTGCGGCCATCCACGAGCTGCGCATCGTGTTCGAGGACTTTGACGGCCATGTGGCCTATGCGGGCTACTCCACCTTTGCCATCGGCAGCGAGAGGGAACTGTACCCGTTGAGTCTGCTGGGACAGTTCCAAGCGGATCTGAGTCCCTCGGCAGGAGACTCTCTGTCCTACCACGCCGGTGCCAAGTTCAGCACCATCGACGGCGACAACGACAACTGCGTGGACTGCAGCTGCGCGCAGAGGTACAAGGGAGCCGGCTGGTTCAACAACTGCGGCACCAGCAACATCATGGGACAGTACCACCAGCAGAACTATGCCCAGGCTGGCGAGTCGGGCATCTTCTGGGACACCTTCCAGGGCAAGGACTACTCGCTGCGAAGGGTCCGCATGATGATACGCCCCATCGGAGAGGAGGAGGCCCGCCGCTAGCCCATGATACTCTCTGTTCCCCTCTGTGTGCTGAATTGGCACTGCCATTTTCGTGTAAATCAGGGATCCCCCAGGAGAACCAGCTTCGGCGAGTGTTCGCTTTCGTATGCATTTTAACCCCCAGCCTAGCTTTATGCCCGATACCCGAACTTGTGCGTGTACTCACTCGTATGTGTAATATTTATGGAAAATTACTTAATACCTAGATAATACATTAATGTTATGTGTATCCATTGCATGGAGAGATTCCTTAGCGTACGTCATTCGCAGTCGGAGATGTTCACCCTAATCGCTCGATTTGTATAACATGCAATGCATTCAGCATGCAATCTGAGACTCTATATAAATCGCAGGCAGCTCTGTGACTGCGGCTAGTCAGTCGTGTGTTATCCGTGCAGTAATTGAAACATGGTCAAGACTTGCTTTTGCCTGGTGCCTCTGCTCTGCCAGCTTTGGGGCCTGCATGCCGCGTTGCTGGATTCTTTGGTGAGTCAGAGCAACATCTATTACCTGGAGCCCGGAGCGTCGGAGCTGCCACTGCAGAGCGTGGAACAGGTAAACACGGTGGATTCAATTAAGCTGATTGTCCACGGCTACTTGGCCTCGCGGTCGCACGGCTCCATAATGCCCCTGAGGAATGGTGAGGTCTAGCGGGTAGTTTAATCCTCTAGTTCCTATGCTAACGCTGCTCAAACCTCCAAGCGTACAGCTCCCAGGGATATGAGAATGTGCTGGTGGCTGACTGGTCGGCTGCCGCCACTCTGGATTATCCCTCCTCGCGATTTGCCGTGGATAAGGTGTCCCTGGTGCTGGCCAAGGAACTGCAGAGGTTTCTCCTGCGACACAGCATAGCCGCTGCAGCAGTCCATGTGGTGGGACACAGCTTGGGCGCCCATATAGCTGGCCGCATTGGCCACTACTTTAATGGAACTCTGGGCAGGGTTACAGGTCTCGATCCTGCGCTGCCACTTTTTACACAGCGCTCCGGGGACAGTCTGCGCTCGAATGCAGCGCAATTTGTGGATGTTATTCATACGGATTACCCGCTCTTCGGGGACCTCAGACCCCGCGGGACTGTAGACTTTTATCCCAACTTTGGATTCGCCCCGCAGCCAGGTTGCGAGGATGTGGACCTAATTGCTGCCAGTAAGCTCCTCCGCGAGGCTTGTAAGCGACTTCAAACGTTCGTATCTTACCGATTCACCTCTCCCCTGCCTCCCAGATAGCTGCAGCCACAACAGGGCTGTCATGTTCTATGCGGAGTCAATTGGAATGCCACAGAACTTTCCGACTATCCCCTGCAGCTTGAAGGCCATCAAGAGTCGCCATGTGGAAAGCTGCCTACGGGAGAGCTCCAGGCCAAGTCAGAATGGAACGAAATCAGACTCTGAGGTGGTTTTCATGGGAGAGCAGCTTAGCCGCAGGTGAGACAGTTAACGGAAATTTAAATTCAAAATATCTTTTGTTTGTATAATTTATTATTTATTTATTTTATTACAGCGTCACGGCGTTTGGAAATTTTTACTTGGAAACTAATGGAGCACCACCTTACGGCAAGGGGAGGAACTCAAATTATCGACTTCTCGACTAATTACATCGCATATACGCTTTTCCACTGTTTAGACATACTTTTGGCATGACCAAAACTAAATTAGAATAATAAATAAAGCAAAAATGTAAATATCCTTTATTTCCTTGGGTGGTTAAAGTGATGCGGAACATCCTACCGACTACGAGGACACGTTTCCTGTCCTCATCGGGTGAGAAATGGCCGAGTTAAAGCGATTTACTTGAAAATCGGTTTAAATATAACGGTCAGCACTGTGGCGCCCCCACCAAACAGCGGCATTTTCTTGAACTAACAATAATTAGTTCCAGCAGTGACCGTTGGTAGCTGGAGCGCCAGTGTGCACAAACCAAGTAGCACAGTGGCGCCCCCAGCCATAGCGGTAAATTCTCGAACTAAATGATTTTAGTTCCAGCCGTGGCCGCTGTGATCGCGGGGGCGCCACTGTGCAAAACACATGGTTGTTGTACAACAAAAGTTGTACTTGTACAAAAATAACAAAAACAACTTTTGTTGTACAACAAGAAAAAATTTGTTGTACAACAAAATTTGTTGTACAACAACCACGTCATTTGCACAGTGGCGCCCCCGCGATCACAGCGGCCACGGCTGGAACTAAAATCATTTAGTTCGAGAATTTACCGCTATGGCTGGGGGCGCCACTGTGCTACTGTGTTTGTGCACAGTGGCGCTCCAGCTTCCAACGGTCGCAACTGGAACTAAAATTGTTTAGTTTGCGAATTTACCGCGCTGGCTGGGTGCGCCACTGTGCTACCTTTTTGGACAACCATCGTTTTTTTTTGTTTTCTCCTTTATTTCCGCATTTTCCCAAAATAAAGAACGCTCGATTATTTTTTACTCGTCGCATTTCGTGTGTGTTTTATTAATGGCAAGTAATTCTGCACTTAATCCTAGATTTTTAAACCAAATTAATTCAAATCAGATGAAGATCAAACAGGGAAAGGGCCCTCCCACCGATGTCAAGGATATTTTTAAACTTAATTCCTAAAAAACAAATAACAATGAAAATGCATTAACAAAGATACAGTGCCACAGTTCGTTTCGTTTGAGAATCGGGAACTACAATCCTCCTATCCGTACGGAGCGTAGAGGTTGCCATGCGTTGAGGCCGAATGAAAGTGCACCAGATTGCCGTGCGTTTGCACCGGTGGCTGGTAGTAGGCCGCCTGATGGTACAGCGCTGGATGGGCGTGCTCGTTCACTTGGATCTGATGGTAGTTGGTGATCGGCTCGTGCTCCACTACTTCGCGCACCGTCTGGAACGGATGGTTGACCACAATGCGACGCTTATGCAGGGTTTCGCTTGTGGCTGCCGCATCGGTAGGAGCCGCTGTGGCGGCGATAACGCGTTCGTTTGGCTTCAGATGTCCAGCGCCGCCATTGAGAGAGACATCCACATCCTGAGGCTGTGCCTGGACGGGCGTGGGTGTGGCCTTTGTGGCAGACACATCGGCGGCAGCTGCTGGAACCTCCACCAGACGTTGCGAGTATTGTTGTCGCTGCTGTAAACGTGCCGATGGCTGGTGCTGGTGCTGCTGCTGGTGCTGCTGCTGTCCCTTGTCGCAATCAGGAGTGATCGTGGATGCCACTAGCATGGGTTGTTTACCCTCATTACGATTACCGATTTGGATTTGAATGTGTGTATCCTGGGACTGGGCCTTCTCCTTAGGCGACTCTACCTCTTTGGCGGGAGCCTCCACCAGCCTGGCCGACTGATTCTCGGGACTGAATCTCATTTGGGAGTAGGGAGCACTGTACTCCAGATCCTCGGCCAGGGGATTGCGTTGACGCGACGACTGAGTGTAGTATCCCCGCTGAGCGGCAGGCCTCACCGAAGCCTTGGCATAGACCACCGTGGGACCCACGTGGCTGCGCAGATAGGGCTTAAGCTCGGCCACATGGGCGGGCACTTCGGTGATTCTCTGCTCCTTTGGCGGCGTCTGGCTGCTGCGACCCAAGTAAATGTTATGCTGCGAAGGCGGCAGATGGATCTTGTGCTCGTGCTTGATGATCTGAGTGCGTGGCTGCTCCTGCTCTACCGGTGCCAGCTCCAATCTTGCTGGCTTGGCCTCTATATTGGCTGAATTGACGTTCGGCAGGAACTCCCCTGCGAAGTAGTCTTCATTATTGTTGTAGGGCTGTCGGTTGTAGCTGGTCCTATGCTGGTAGCTGCGCTGCGGCGGACGCTCATAGTTGGGCACCTCGTTGGGTGGGATACTCCTGGAATACTCCTGCTCTGGCTCCGCTCGGGTGATCATATTTGGTGTGAGGTGTTTCGTGTTGATCTTGATGGGATTGCCATTGCCATCGACGGCCGAGACCGAGGTGGATGTGGTCTGGCGACTGTCCACAACATCGCCCGATGGCTGCTGCTGCTGCTGTGGCTTCTGCTGCTGTAGCCGTGCCTCCACGTACTCATCCTTTGGCGCCTGATCGTACGAGGCCATGGTCGTCACACTGGAGCCCACGGTGGTCGTTTGCTGATCCTTGGACTGGGCTGGGGAGTCGTAGGAGTCGTAGGAGGGTCGATAGTCGTTGCCATTGCTATTGCTGCTGTAGCTCTGGGTGTTGTAGCTCTGTCCGTTGTTGCTGTAGGCAGCAGCCACCGCGGGATGCGGGTGTCCCAGTGGCAGCAGAGTTTCCCCCTTGGGAATCTTGGCCACGGGGTGATCCAGCTCCACGACAAGCGTGCCCGCCGGCTTGATCAGCACACGCTCCTCGATGTCGTAGAACTCCTTCTGGATGGCCGGATGCCGCACCTCGTACTTCTTCGCCTTGAGCGCTGGCTGCGCAATCTGAATCGTTTTGGTGACCATCGGTCGCTGGGGCTGAGCATAGCTGCGCGGAGGAGCGGGCGGCAGATAGCCCGAGCCGCCTGGATAGGAGGATGCCTGATCGCCGTAGTCATCGTAGCCCTGCGAATCGTAGCCCTGGCCATCGTCCACCTCTGGCGGGTACTGTCCCTGGTAGTCCACATCCTGGCCCTCGTCGTAGTTGTACAAATTTGGATCGTAGCTGGGTCTGTTGTAGCTGGTGGCAGGATTAAAGCTGGATGTGGCATCGTAACTGGAGGCGGCATCTGATGGATGCGAACCACCAGCAGGCACTGGGGCACTGGAGGATACGGAGGAGGAGCTGCTGCTGCTGCCGCCGCCAGGTGAGGAGGCGTGCACGGCGGCTGCCACTGGAGCCTGGGAGGGCTCATAGATGGGTTTAGTGTCCGGAGCCACCTCCACATTGGCGCTTTGTACCTGGGAGGACGACACCGGAGCTGCCACTTGCCGCTCGAACATGCTTAACTGCTGCGATCGGGATCCACCAATGGCCACCACCTTCTGTGGCGCACTGTCATCCGTGGAGGAAGTCACACCAGAGCTGGTCTGTGTGTAGCGCTGTGGAGCAGGGTTCGATGATTCATAGACCTGCAAAAAGGTGGCCAAGAATATTTATTTATTCATTTCATTCCCCTCAACCAGAAATACTCACAGTCTCGACGGTGGGTCCGTGGCTGTGGTAGGACTGGATGTACCTCTCGAACTCCTGGTTCTGGCGCAGCTGTTGGTTCCGCTGACGGAATTGTCCATTGTGGGGTGCCTGGAGCTGCGGCTGCAGTTGCTGGTGCAAGCGGCGACTGTGATTACGGCGACGTTGCATGCGTCCCTGTCCCTGTCCCTGTCCCTGACGAGGCGTTAGCTGAGGAGATTGCTGCTGTTGCTGTTGTCCCACTTGCTGCTGCTGCTGCTGCTGCTGCTGCTGCTGGCCCATCTGTGACTGTGATTGCTGCTGGGATCTTTCTTGAATCCTCTCAAAGCGCTCCTCCTCGTTCATCATCACGGGACCCGCTTTCAGCTCAGCTGGGGCACGTCCATCCACATAGTTAACATCCGCTGGATTCGTGGCCGGCTGCTGGGCAATGGAAATATTCACATGGGTGGCTGCCTCCACATAGCTCCAGCCAGCCAGCAGCAGGAGCAACAGCAGTGCCCGACTCATCATGGCAAAGTAAAGGTGTTTGCTGTGATCCTGGGATACCCGAATATTGAACCAATTGCGAATCGTTTGACGATCGCAGACCACCTCCAAAGCTGAACGCGTCTCGCTGTCTGAACAATTTGTGCGTTGTGCCGCGCATATTTATACCGATTTACGATACGTTTTGAAATGGAAATGGACTTGGGGGAGCGATCGCAAATCGCGATCAGTGTCAAAGTCAACTGCGACGACGCAACTACAGGTAAACACCCTGTTTAGGGATGAGTCTCAGATGCTTGCCCCAGTTCTACAATTAAAGGCATCGGCATCGCATCACAACTCGACGCATCGGAACGCATCGATCGATCGTTGATCGCTGATCGCTGATCGTTGATGGATGATGCATTCAACAAATTGCTGTCGTCGCTTCACACTTGTGTGGCACGCTCCTCCGATTTGGAACTTTGCGAATCGTAGCTCAAATTCGAATTTCAATCGCCAAAAACCCGCACCACCATCCGTAATTGGACACTGCCACATAGTTTCCAGTAATTGTCGGAAGGTCGAAGTCAGGCAAACTCTCTTGGCGACTCGTTTGAACTTGAAATCTAAGCAGAGAGACGTTGCACTGCCACTGCCTACAGCTGGACACCCCCAGTTGGTCTCTCACTTGATTTCGGCTGGGGTTTGGGATTGGAATTGCTGGTCAGGCACTCTTGCGCAACTTTAAAGTTGGCGAATATTTGCATTCGACAAGAAGAAGGTAAAGCCTAATCGTGTGAAGTACAGACCAATAAAATCAAAGTCAAATTCGAACAGCACTGGCTGGTGCCTAGAAGGGTCTCTGAGGGTCGCAGTATGCAAACAATTTACTTTATACTAACTATTTCTATACTATTACATCAAACTGCTCCAGTTGGATATTTCTTTGCCATGTAAGCCTTCTAATTAATTTAAGTTCCACCAATCATTAGGAAAGACTTACCCAGTGGATACTGACAGCAACCCAAGGGCAATGAGGATCTGCTTGAACACTTCAAAAAGGGCGTTGGGTTGACTTACAAATCCTTTTCAAA